TAAGTGTTATATGAGTTGGGGGCCAAACAAGGCCATGCATTTAGAGAGACTATGCACTTAGGGAATATGCTGACTGTATATTACAAAAATTTTATAAATATAATTTTTGTTTTTTATATGTTTGCTACGTATTCAAAACAAAGTAAAAAACTTACTATTCAAATCTGTAATAGGTATTTTTTTATACTGTATTAATATTTAGATTTTAAATAATATACGTAGTATACGTATTAATACAGTAAATAATAAGATATATCAGATATATACTGTACATTTTACGTACGTGCAAAAAAATATTTTTTTTGATTTTACAAAATAATAAAAAATTAATAACCCGATTTGAAACAGATATTTGGCGCCAATAATCAGACATATATCGAATCGAATCGATAGCTCAATAGGAATGCCGATAAAGCTATTGATTGATCAATAAACCTATTAGATATATATCAAAGAAAAGCATATCTCTCTCTTATAGATCTCTATCGGCATTCCTATTGAGCTATCGATTCTGATTTGTCTAGTATTGGCGCCAAATATCTGGTTTAAAATCGTGTTAATATCAGGATCAATTTAGGCTCGGTTTGACTCTTATTTATCTTCGTCGACCAGATATAATACTATAAAAATTAAAAATATTTGGTATATAATTATAATAATTGGCAGAAATTTATCTGGTAGTCCTAGTAACATCGCATCAAAGAAAACCCGAATTTTTCCAGAACTTCAAAGGATGTGATGTTTTAAAAAGAAACATCAATCAATATATAAAATATTCATTCTGAATAATATCTACGCCAATATATTAAATGGAGTTTATATAAAATAATATATACGTATAATTATAAACTTAAAATAGACTTATTGTCGCATTAAAATTATCATTGTGAATATTTTTTACATTATCGTTAAAATTTAAGTCGGATGTAAAATATCTGTAAAAAAGATAATAACAGATACGATGTTACATGAAATTTTCTTGGATAGTACCTCTTGACCTTCGTTCATCTATCACGTGACTACGATCATATTAACCTTATTTCGCTTCTTAATATTTCGCTACTTCATACTAAATTAATTGATTTCATATTACTCGTGTCCTCAAATACATTTAGTTGTTGTCTCTTTCGATTAAATCCTCTTTGATAAGTCGTATAACCGACGACATATTAATTCGCCATATCATTAAATTACATAGTCTTCATACCATAATTTGTATGTCTTCTGTGACAACGGATATATTCATCTGGATCGCTACTCTAATCTAATATACCAGCACTATATTAATAGACATATTGTATGCTAAAAAATATCGCCATTTTTAATAACATCAAGCTAGCTATAAAAAACTCCAAATTAGCCATCTCAAGAATTCTTTCTATTGGTACGATTACATTAGTTCCAGGTAGGGATGTTAAGCGGTCCACGGGAAACGGGTTCATAACTGGTCCAGACCGGACTTTTTAGGGACTAGTACAGGACTGGTCCAAAAACTAGTCCTATAATCTTGTGATCTCAAGATCATCTAATTGGCTAATTTATGTTGATCTTAAATAAATATGATTACAATACAAAACGAATTTAATACGTACAATCCATGTAATTAGCAATTCTGCAATTAAAACAATACATTAAACCGTAGAGTAGGACCGGTTTTTTTAATTTTTTTTGACAGGGGAGTGAACTAGTCCCTTAACTAGTTCGGACTCGGACTTTTTAGGGACTGGGACCGGACTGCACCAGACGCACCACTTAACATCCCTAGTTCCAGGATACAATACCATTTATAGTGCATATATCTTCTTTATAAGAAAATGTAGCTTCTCGTTTCACCTGTCTTAATTTTTATGTGCAAAGACTAAAATTGGTTTTATTATCCGTCCAAAACGCATAGAATGATTTTGTATATCCACAAGTAACTTATGTTATCAGGCCTAAGTTACATACATAAGAATCCAATGTTAGATAAACCTATTCTACAGTATATATCCTGTATAATCAACTCAATACTTTGAGCTGAATCTAAATTTCTTATAGTACTGTGTTTCATATTATTTTAATTATCAGGTTGAAGATAATGCTCTACCATTTGCCCAATTATATCTGTGGGTCCTGAACCCACGGTATAATATGGTGATGTAATTCGCATTTGAATCTTTATTTTTTGCCAAAATCCACAAAAAATAAAATAACGATTAATTAAACCATAATTCTATCTCTTTTGATCAAGCCATCTCTCTGATTTTCACCATCTTCAGGATACAGTATATATGGGTGATTTCCTCTAAAAATTGTTCATTTTGTTCTTTCATGACTTAAAATTATAACGACATACAGCCAAAAGTAGAATTTGATCTTAATGTTCAGCTTGAGCGGATATTTAGGCAAACAAATTTCTTAATTAATATAAGGAAAATCTTCTGCTTCTTCAAAAATTATTGTTCTATATAGGTTCTAATGTTACTGCATAAGAATGAATTCTTTTTACATATGGGAACCCCCACAGCAAAACAAACCAGTGGGCAAAAAAAATTTTTTTTTAAAAACTCAATTTCTCGAAGAATTGAAGTATTAGAAATGCAATTTTTATAAAATTACAAAAACAAAATTTTTTTCCCACTGGTCTGTTTTGCTGTGGGGGTCCCCATATATGGAAGACCTGAAAAAAATTCTATCATATTTATCTATTAATGGTCCATCCACCATGATTAAAAATTACAGAAGCATTAGATTCAGAAACATAAAATATGCAATAATTAAACTATGAAAAAAATTGGCTCAATTACGAGTATTAATTGTAATTGTGCCGAACGAAGAATTGTCAACCATTCAGTTTGTAAGCGCACTGCTTAAAAATTGAATGATGCTCATGTCTATATTCAAGCAAGGAATTGTCAAAATTATAAAAAAAATATAATGCTGAATCTGTTAAAAATGAAAATAACAGCCGTTATATTAATAAACAAATCATTCTTGAAAACAACAAACTGCTTTGGTAAGATCAGGAGTATAAAAAAGAAAGAAATACTGTAGAAGTTTTATATTATAATTTAATTAATTTTAACTTTATAAATCTTATTAACAAGAATTAAATAGAGTATACAGTATATAATAAAATAATAGAACCAAAGAATAAAATGTCAAAAAATTAACAAACAATTTTCCTTTCAAGTATAAATCTTAAATTCCTAGTTATTTTTAAATATATAACCTATATACAGTACTTTAAATACATATATTTGTAGTACAGTAGTATATTAAAAAAAGGATACTATAAGTCAGTACTTTGCGATTTATTGCAATTTAAAAGTGTAAAACTGAAGAATTCGGTTTGTTATTCCCAAGTTAAGTCTATTGTAATAAATAATATTTGTTAAGTTTCATTATGAAATTGCCCGTATTATTATTATTTGCTTTATGATAACTAAAAGATAGATTAATCTATATATATTTAGTTTGTTTAAATCATTGTTATTTTGTTTATTTATTCACTAACAAATATAAATGTAATTTTGTTATTATTTATTAGGTTCCAAATTGAAAACTCCAGGCCTGGTTACCTGCTTTATCAGCAGTCAATATAAGGAAACTTTACATGAGCGATATAAAATATTTAATTCTGTTCGTATAAAGAAAATAAATAATGTAGCTTATAATATTTAAATTTTATACCAAATCATACTTGGTGTCAAAATTCAAACGTAAGATCAAACCATTTTTCATTTCCTATCGATAAAAAAAATACAATTAACAATATTACAATATTTACAAAAAAAAAAAAATTTTCAAGGAAAATAAAAAGGATAAAACATACCATGAACAACCTGACTTTCTCCCTTTAAAATAAATCCGACTTTCTGATATAAAGGAATTAAATGTTCATGGCACATCAACACAACTCTTTCATATTTAACATTCACATCTTTATTTTGAGATTCATTTCGTAATCTTTTGATATATTCGTTTAACATACAAGTAGCAACACCATGCCTTCGATATAGTTTATCTACACAAACTGAATGAACACAAACTGTTTTTCCAGATGGATTATGGTGCGACATTGATTCTTCAGTTATTATTGATGCATTCGCAAGCGTTGATACAACGAATCCGATCAATTGTCGTTCCGAAGGTGTCGAATGAGAATCTGAAATATTCGAGGGAAGATATGCTCCTAAAAATAATGTAGGTGCAACGTTTTGACGGTATGCAAGTTTTTCTAATGTAGCAGCTTCTTCGGGTGGATAGCCTATTAATATGAAAGTGAAAAATCGACTCATCAATTTCATCAATTTCGGGAGAATGTATTAAAAAAAATATATAATAATTATAATGTATAATAAACCTTCGGATTCTAGTCGAAATGCATGTTTGATATCGGATGCACTCACATACTCGAATATTAAGGAATCAAGAAATGATTTACTATCCATTTGTATATATATTTTTTTCGTTTGATTCTTATTTAAATTGATGTATAAAGTGAGAATATGAATATTGTAAAATCTATCGCTGTAATTTTACTAAATTACAGAATTATATACTGATATGTCTCAGATCGCCGTGTGTATTAGACGACAACCAGAATGTCGATCGTACCTCTATAAATTTTGATATGAAACGGCGGCATGAACCGCTTGGTTCTTAACCACTCGTTATTAAATCAACACTTAGTAACTATATATATAATTAATATTAGAGTTTTCTTATATGGCTGTCGTCAATAGAAATAAGGCAGATTGACATTTTAAAAAATATTAATACCTTAATTTTCACAACTCATATCTCGATGAATTTTGAAAAGAAAGCTTTGATCGTAAGCTTTCTTTTGACTATTAAATCCATCGAGATATGAGCTGTAAAAATTAATAAGAATTATTATACTATTTTGTATTTCTAAAAACAAATATTTATTAAAAAAAAATGAATTATTTTTCAGATACTAAAATACTGTATATATGTATACAATATGGGCTGCCGTCAATAAAATTGACATTTTAAAAAAAATTAACACCAACATTAAAATAATAATAATGATATAATAATAAAGTATTTTAAGTTCAAAATCTTAAATTTTTAAAAGCTAGATTCTAATTTTAATTTTAAAATACTACAAACTTATAATTTTTTTAATTTTAACTAAATAAAGCTTTAAACTTGTATATAAATCTAATTATTTCAGTATACAGTATTCAAAGTTTGATTAAATTAAAAAATTATAATATTAAATTGATTTTATTTATATAATAAGTTTATACTACTGTATATACTGTAATACAAGTTTTATATGTAAAAAACATGCATATTACTGTATATTTAGTAAAAATTTAAAATATCACAGTATACAGTATATACTATATATCTGATATATATTAACAATTATTAAACCAAATTTAATAACTCTTTTAATTTTATAGCTATACAAATAAAAAAAATTTTCAAAAAAAAATATATATATACTGTATATATATTGCTGCTTTTTATTAATTTCAACCATATTACAGTATACTGTACTACAGTATGTTTTTTAGTAATACTACAGAATATACTGTATATTATATGATACTGTACTATATAAACCATATAACGATAATATTTTCGAAGTTTAAACAACCGGGTTACACATGATTTCCTGCTACCATTTTTTTTTTCTGGAAAATCATAAATTCCATGTGATCAATCATCATGAGAAAGTTATCCTATTAAAGGCCCGGAAATTTACTATAAAAGACCATTGTCCCAATAAATATTCTCGTGTGTACATAATGTTCTCGTTAAAACCACCAAAATTCGCTTTGATTGCTGGTAAGATCATGTTTTACTTTTCATTATCTATAATTTTTGTCGTTGCGTTCAATATCGCAATTTTATATATAAATATATAAGCTGTGGAAGAAAACTGGGGGATCGGAGTTAATAATGAGCTTCCTTGGAAAATTAAAAAGGACATGGCGTACTTTGAAAGAGTTACTAAAAAAGTGTTAATATCAGATGAAACTACTGATACATCTCCTGCTACTTCTTGCAAGAGTATTCAAAATGCCGTAATTATGGGTCGTAAAACTTGGGAATCTATTCCGCCTAAATTTAGACCTTTGAAAGATCGATTAAATGTTGTTTTGTCTAAAACTTTAAAACCTGAAAGGTATTATCAAAAGAAGAACAAATCATGTTTATTCCTTTTTTTTTTTTTACATTTTTATAAACATATGTCTTATATAGCGATACGTACGTGATTAATTCATCTTTTGATGAAGCTGTTGCTAATCTTGTTGACAAACCTACGATTTCACGCATTTTTATAATTGGTGGTGGATGCGTCTATAAAGAAGCAATAGAATCACCTCTTTGTGAATATATTCTTATTACTAAAGTGTATAAAAATTTTAATTGCGACGCCTTTTTTCCAAAGATTGATGAAAATTTATATAAATTAGCAAGTCATGATGAATTGGTAAACTTTACTGGTGATGATGTTCCTAAAGGTAGACAACTGGATGGTGACATTGAATATGAATTTTTGATGTATAAAAGAAAGTAATACAATACTTGTAATACTTGTGTAAACATGCACAACAAATAATTATGTACTAATCGTTTACGTAATTCGTATGAGTTTGGAAAATTAAAAGATAATAAATAGCATTATTACAATAGGCCTTAGATATTTTTGCCTAATCAACTCATTTACTAATTTCTTGTTTCCGAACTGGGCAACAACTTAAATCTTTTTTTCTCTATTATACCATATATTCTGTTTACAAAAAAAATGGGTTGTTGCTGCAGTAAAGACGAAGGTGATGATGGTTCAAAGGTAAATTATAACATATTGTCGTTATTCTTTGCCTAAGTCTTCTCTGTGACAGGTTACAAAAAAAACGAAAATTTCGTGTCAAATAGCCGAACGAACGATCCCGCCTCATATCTGGTGACGGAAACTCCTATGTTGAGTTAATATCATGTTTATGCTTATTATTGTTGGAATTTGAGTAATTGAAGAATTTTAACGTGTAAAAGAACTCTGCTACTAACTTAGGCAGAGGATGGCGTATCCACGTTACGACGCCGCGGCAGATCGTGATAGAGAACGAGAATCTTTGCAAAAAATCGTTCAACGAACAGCAGAGTATGTCTTTCATTACCTCTGATGTTTACTTTTCGTTTTATCGTTATTCATTTTTAATTTTTCAATTTTATTTAGAAATCTCATTGACATATCAAACGCCCATGTTATTGAGCGCTTGCAACAACAAGATGTAATAGATCGTGCAAATGAATACAAGTAGATAATCTTTGCTTCTTTTTTTTTTCGTTTATTTATTTCTTATCTACATTTACTCACTTGCTTTATCTAATTTAGAGATTTCATAAGTACGATCAAACTTGATTCGAAAACACTTAAAAAGATTCAAGAGAAGAACACTCTACCCAAGTTGCAGAATAGAAAACCACTATCGTTATCTCAAATTTCAGATGTACAAAATACAAAATTGATACCGCCTCATGTTGTTTTAAACGATGGAGGTTTATCTAAAGAAGACCAGATGTGGGTGGGTAACCGATATATTTTCATAATTTGTCCCTTCTTTAATGTGTCATGTGTTCATAAATTCTTTTTTATAATCAGTTACACAAAGCCATGGACGAAATACATGTTGCAATTGACCACATCGAGGTTGAATATGTGGGTGATTTGGTAGTTCCATTAACATAGGCAATTCATCCTATTATTTATGGATAAAATTATCTTGCAGCCGAACAAAATTATTTAGTTTGGCAAAATTGGTCTATCATATTTATGGCAATCTTCATTCTTTTAGTTTGCCGACCTACCTTGTTATTATCATAAGTAGAATTTTATCGGACTATTTGCAACTAAGTAACCCGCCATTATTGTAATATATGTTTCTGTAATTGTAGCATTTTTGTGCCAACTCTCAAATTAAAAATTAACCATCTTAATTATTGGTCTAATTACAAATATAGTGCAGGTTATATAGTGATGATCACTAATTAAGATTTTTTTTATAATAAAAATTTTTTAGATCTATATACAACTTTTAAGTATTTCTCGCGTAATATCTGATATTGTTTAATCCTATAAAAGTGAAATGTTTAATTAAAAAGCGTTTTTATATAGTAAAAATATTAGAAGCTGTGTTTAAACTTTAGTGTTTTTATTTATTTATTTTATTTATTTATTTTTTTTAACTTCACGGGTTTTGCCATAGCTTGCTTTTTATTAAAAACATATATATAAACTATATACATTTAATATATAGAACTAAAAGCCCAACTTCATTCGGTCTTGCGGTTCTAAATGCAATCGATTGCATTAGCTTGCAGACAAGCTAGAATTATCTTATCAAAAAATCTATAAAAAAACAAAAACAAACTATGACTAAAAAGGAGATGTAAAAGGGGGAGTAGGAGAAAATGAAATATAAAAATAAAAAAACCCAAAAAAAGAAAAAATAAAAAAAATAAAAACATTTTATAGAAAAAAGATAACAGTTTAAGAGGAATTTCACCTCTCTACATAACCAGAATACACTATTATAACCCTGTGCAAGGCTAAAAAAATCATATAACAAATGCAATGATTGTATATCTCTAGTATAAAGCTTTGTCTTAATATATAAAGTTCTTTTAATTTATAACTGCTTTTGGATATCTCTTTAACTGGAGGCCCCAATCTGATTTTCCTGAAGTAGTGCCATATTTGTAAACAGACATGTCACATGGTTGTATTCTACTAAGTCCATTTGAATTTGGAAAGTAAACAATGCCAATCTTTTGGAAGAGTAAGTCAAATCTTTATTTTTTGTGAAAATTTTGGAAGACCAACAGGAGAGTGAGAAAAAGAAAGAGAGTAATCATCTAATCCAAAAGAAAAAGTGTGGCTTTAGAAAAGAAAAAGTTTTGTTGTTTCCTTTGTGTTTTTCTTATATAGACCACAACTCTTTAACAAAAAATTTGTTTTTCTATTAATAGAAAATTTTAGTTTTAGTGATTATCAGAAAGAGTTGTAAAGTGTTTTTATAGTTTTTGAAGATTATACAATTTTTTTTAATATTGATATTTAAAATAAAGTTTTTTTACTTTGATTTTTTTTTTTTTAATAACACTGTCTCTTTATTACTTATTGGTGGAATATACATAATATATATTATTTTTACAAGATTTTCAGTCCATTATTATGGTAATTATCTACTCAGATGTCTCAGGTTCCTCCTTCTGTGGTGTTTCAGTTCTCGAATTTCTATAACCCTCTTGAGTAAGATATACCAAACCTTACAGCCTGGTATAGTCATATTAATCCCTATTTTGCCTTATTAACAAGTCAACACATCTTGTAAAGTTTGTTTACTCTAACTTCGGGTGTCTTGTTTTTTTACTTTGAAAAATATTTTATTACTTTAGGCCATACAAAATTAATTAATTGGTTTTTATAACCTGGCTAGGTCAAAATTTAAAAATTTCAAAAAAAAAATTTTATATATTTTAATAGCCAGATGGGTTTTAAAAAAAAATTATATTTATTTTATAAAATTATATATACGAAATTTAAAAAAAAAAGCCGGCTAGCCAGGTTTATTTAAAAATTTCATGTTATAAAAACTAAGTAATTAAATTTGTATAGTCTTAAAATGTTTTTAATATATTTTAATCTAATAAACTACTAAAACAGTACTTTGAAAGAATTATTTGGATTGAGTTTGGCATAACTCCTTCCAACAATCATCTGGACCAAAATTTCCCACCAAACAAAAACAAAAATTTTATTAAAAAGAAAAAGAATGCTTATATGACAGTTTATATAAAGGTTAACTTGCTTCTATGGGGGACTTCTTTATACATTTAGCATGCAAACTAGAAGCATTATAAAACAAGATAACTGGCAAAAGTTGGCGCTCTTGGTTCCAAAATTCTGAAAAGAAGGTGTTCATGAGAAGTTAAGGCCTTTTTGTTGACAAAGTAATCTATAATGCAAAAGAATAGAAGGAAAACAACAAATGAGTTTTTATAACAACACTCCTTGGAAATTTAAAGACACCTTTTTGAATAACATACATCATGGCTTGGTTCGAAAGAAGCCTTAATATGAGACATGGGAAAAGAGACCTATTATAGGCATGGCACTTGTCGTTTAGAGGTAGTTCTTATATGCTACCTGCTAACAAGTTCAGAGTTTATCACTTACCGAAAAGACTTAGTACTGTGCAGGCTTGAGTAGACATTTTTTTGATGTTTCCTCTTGGTCTTTCTACCTTTCTCTTGCTTTTGCCATTCTCTTCAAAATTTTCAAAAAAAAGTGTGTATTTGGGCTTACCCTCTTCAAAAGATTGGCATTGTTTACACCTTCCTAATTTGGATATACTCAGTAGAACACAACTACGTGTTTGTTTTGTTTATCAATACGGTGCTACAGTATGAGAAAAAGATTGGTATCCCCATTTAGGAGATATCTGAGTTTTGTCAGTGCCCAGAATGAGTCCTCTATGATAAGGCGATGTCTTACAATTGAGATATATTAATTAGTTGCAATTATTATATAATTTTTATCCTTATACCTAGCATGGGCTATAATAGTGTGTTATAGCTACTTTTCTTTTTTTTTGCTTTTTTTATCTTGGTTCATTTATGTTAAACTATTTTAGAATTTGTTGAAAAGTTTTTTTTTCCACCATGAGGTGTTTTTTTTTCTAAAATGTTTATGTCTCTCATAAACATGACTTTATTTTTTTCACTTTTATATATAAATAAGGGTTTTAATTTTGTTGTCAGGCTTAGATAGAAGAAGTCTGAAAGAAGAAAGAGATGGTCATGATGGGCAGTAGGTACCATCTGTTGAGAGCCAGATTATATTTAATTGTAGGAGGTGTTCAGAAGGAGAAGAATCCTACTATAGCAGGTCGAACATAAGTACTTATTGAGTAACCAGATTAGTCTTTACTTGTAATTTAGATATAGCTGTGTGACCTTTAGATGCGGCGCATGTTGTTTAGAGATAGTTATCATATGCTATCTGCCAACATGTTCAGAGTTTATTACTCACTGATAAGTCTCTCTAAAATTTTAATAGTCTAGATAAAGTAAAAGCATGCCTGCCAAATTGTTAAAAAAAAAAAAATTTGGATTAAGTTTAGAATTTTTGTATTTACAGTAAATTTTATTATATACTATATAATTTAGTTGTTTAAAAATTATTTTATAAAATTAAATAATATTACATTAATTTAATTGATAATTCTCCAGTCAACTGGTACGTAATCTTAGTAAAATGTGACTCAGATTACTATATAAATTTACTATGGTGCGAATGTGGCGTTTGCACAAGATAAATTTTTTTTATACTAAGTTAATCATCTTTTTTGTTTAAAAGACTTTTGTAAAGCTTGTCAAGACGCATCTAATGGTGGTTAAAGTGTCAAAATCAGCCTGGTGAGTACTA